TAATTGCAGCCTGTCGAGCGGGTTTTCTGTCGAGCGGCTCCGTCGGGTACTCCTGAGTTCTGCTACAAAATCGTGAATTTATCCCTCGAGAAACTTAAAAACACTAAAATAATACTTGTTCTGATACAGGAATTGTTCAGATAGCCAAATTCCTCGCAACAAGTCACTTTTGTAACCAACATGACAGCTCTCTTCGCCGTCATGTAAATGCCACGTCACGCAAAAGTTTAGAAATTCAAGCGTAGTCTATCACAAAACCAAGAAACCATTCCGAGCAAACATTTCTATGAATATTAGTTTGCAGCTGCTCTTATCCATCATTAAAGTAAAATCTCAGTAAGAGGAATAGTTTTGTAGTTTGAATTTTAGTGACGTCAGGTTAAACCCGGCAATTGTTTCTGCGCATCCTTACTGCGCACGCAAATTCACACGCCAAGTCATGCATCAAGCGCACGCTAAGTAATAATAACAGTAATAGGACATGTGGCCATTGCTATACTTTTATCTTGGACGTTCGGGTGACCCTTATTGTCCTTTTCAAAGATCGTTTTCTCTATAGTGAGGTGCTACGTTAAGCGAAAAAATGAAGAAAATCTCTTGACTAGATGTTTGAATTCCGTTCATTGTAGCTCTTCGTGTACTTGAGCGGCGGTTTCAAAGGGGTTTCAAATGCCTCTTGAAGGGTCGAGTTTTGTGGAAAACGTACGCTTCTTTACGTAACAGCCAGACTTCTATACAATATGACTAAGATCATTTGCCTCCGTTGACTCAACTTATGCATTTTTGACTGGAAATCCCTGTAGACCATGCTGAATTACGTGCGACAATGTTTCAAAGTCAGGGTAGTTTTCCACACGCTTTATCTCTTAAACGCATTTCTGACCCAATTAACTCATTATCTGATAGCTTGCGTTGCAGAAGCAACATACCGCGGGTATTTCTCTGAAAGAAGTAAAGAAAATGGAAAAAAAATTCTAGCGACTGGAAAATTTATGCGCGAACGTCCTTAAAAGAACTATTTCGGCCAATATGGAAAAACAAAGTTCAAATGTACAATTACGGCGAGAGTTCTGCACCACATGACGTGGAATCATGTAATAAATTCCCGGGATTGAAATCTAAAAGTACATAAAAAATGTGGGCTAGGCTGAACAACTACATGGTATACAAGTTCCTTGATGTTTCACGGGTTGTACATAAAGCCGTTGGACGATTTGCGCTACGACTAGTCCACCTCCAGTGAGGTACTTCTGCTAGAAATGTACTAAGAGATATTGGTTTAGAAGCAGATAAAGCTGATCAAACATAATACTCACAGTATAAGACGATCTAAGGCCAAGGCTGTTCTAAGGCGAGATTTCAGAATTCGTGAGCTTTACAGCGCTGGTTCCACGACTTCTAGCTAGATGTACGGTTTAGCGATACTGGTGGTAAAAAAGTTAAGAAGTTAATGTCCTGTGCAACAATCATAATAAAGGAATTTAAAACGCAAACACGAAACAACAGAAGAAATACTCACAAGGTATAGCCTAAAATGAAAGCTGGTGAAGTCTCTTGTTGTGAGTACTTTCGTGATTTGATGATTTAGTGAATTTCGTGAACATTCCTGGCAAAAGCGTCGACAGCCTCACCCACAGTTTGCAGGTTCCTTTATTTGCAATTGCCTGTTCCACGATTGGTGGAAAAGTTATGTGGTTAGATAAACCATGGACATGCGGATTCCAGGGCGGGAGATGACTGACATTTCAGGCTATTGAGCACGTCGCTAGCACAACGAACTACTTATATGCGGTTTATTCAACCAAGGTCTGGCATATTAAATAGATCAGGCAACATTCATTGTCGGTTGCAAAGAATTTCACTCAAAATGGTTTAAATATTACGCGTGAAGGTGCAATGTACTAATTGCCAACGAGTCACCCTCGCGAGGACGCGAGGGTGACGAGGCGGCAGCATTATAACGCCGACGCCCGAGTTAATTTTGGTACAGGCCGAAAAAATCTTGAATTTAATGTAAGGTAATGTAAGAGTGACATTGTCGGTGATTGTTTTTGAGTTAGCCAATGGCATCGCGGTATTTTAATCTAAACCAATTAAACACATCAGGAGTATCAGGATCGGTGTAAAATGGGG